TTCCTGCTGGTAAAGGAGTCTGGGAAATGTAGTTTTCAGGTCTCTAGCTCCTGAGCTTCAAAGCTTGCTTTTAGAAAGGCAAGGATAATATTGAGTATTCATATACAATATTCAGCATGTCCAGTTGTTAGCCAGAGTCTCAGGTGAGATGGAGAGATTAAAACCAGTCAATGGGGTTATTAAACCCAAGCATAGATTTGTCTGCTTTGTCTCCTCCCACATGCCCCTGCTATGGATCGATTGCTTTGCCCTCATGGAAACCTAGTAAGGCAGCAGGAAGAACTTGGTGTCTACTGAAAGGGAAAAAATAATGAAAAGGAAAGGGCAGAGAAAAATTCATTCCACCCTCAAGTAGATCAGCTGGTGAAGAGCAGACAGAGGTCTGAGTGGAGACCCGTACCAGTCCCAGATAAGGGGCAAGGAAGAGTCGCAGTTACACAAAGGATCTGTGCATTACAGGGATCTTGAGACCGCTATCACAGTATCTACCTGGCATGTAGTACATGCTCAGTAAGCCTTAGGTGGTATTAGAATAAACCAAAGGATTTGGACTGGCTACAAAGCACCAGAGTGGTAGAATTCACTCTTTAAAGTGTTTTTTTCCTATGCAGAATACCACTGCTGTGACTGGATACAGAGACTTTTGACAATGAATTCTAAACCTATTTTTGTTGCAAATATTTTCCTCATAACTGTTGTTTTATAGCAACATAGCATGTTATAGCCACAAGCTCTATCCTTCGTCCTCTTCTTCATCCTTTCCTTCCTCCTCCTCTCCTCCTCCTTCGCAATTGCACAGTTCTACGTGATAATCCAGCTCAGGTGTTCTCTGTATTTTGTAGATAGGAAGGCCCAATCCCAGGGGGCGGAAATGACTACTCTGAGGTCACGTTGTTAATCAGTAGAAGAACTGAAACTCTTAATGGCAGGTTCAGATTAGCTGCACACCAAATACCCCTCTGTACACAATGAGTCTCGAGATGCCCCAGCAGGTCTCCTCTGTCTGTGGGCAGAGGCTCCCGTATTGATGTCCCTGACTTGCAGCTCTGCCTTCAGGCCTTTTACTCTTCTCCCATAGTTCTCTCTGGCCTCAAAGTCCTTGACAAAACTCATTTTAGAGCATATCATAGCAGCTTTCATGATATATTTATTCACCTATGCCTATAACATGTTTGTTTCCCTGGGCTTTTCCTTCTTCCTTACCCTTTTGTCCCTGACAGTTTCAACCTTGCTCTTTACCGTCAAAATGCTGTCCCCAGTACCTCTCAATTTTGACGCCCATAGAAAGAACTAAGATAAAAATGAAAATATTCTGGAATCACCAAACCACTCATTTAATATCAGGTTTTGTTTTGTTTTTGTTTTTGTTTTTTTAATGGAAAACCAGGATTCAAAATCCTAATTTGATTCTATGTCCTTTCAAAGGTTAATATATTGGTTCATGGTCTTGCTAAGCACAGGGATGTGGGACATAGCATGATGGCCTCCTCTTGTGACAGCCAAGATGCTGTGACCTATGGCCCAGTGGGGCTCTGTGACCCTCCTCCACTTCTTTTCTCAGATGCCTCCTTCATTAAGCTTGAGCTTTCATTGTAGGCTGGGATTGGAGGACCCATGTTCTCCTCTTGGCTACAACTGTGTGCCCTTAGATAAGAAACTTAGCTTCTCTGATTTTCTTATCTGTTAAACAGGGACACTCATAAAGATGAACCAAAACAGGCCTCAGTTTTCTCATCTGTAAAACAGGGGCATTCATAAACTCAATCACATGGGATCTCTGAGTACACTGTTAACCAAATTTAATGATCACAGTGGTTGAGAATCTGTTGGGGGATAGGCCATCTCCCATGACTTTTGCAGTCTCAGGACTAGCTGGGAAATCAGTGCTGCAATATCTGATTTATAGGTGAGGGACTCAGTGCACAAAGAGATTTGTAGCTTGCTTCAGGGCACGTGGATAAGGTGTGCCTGAGGCAAAGAGGATTCTAGCAGCCTTGCTCTTGCCACAGGATCACGCCAACTCCCCCAGAGTTATTTATTGACTTCTTCAACACATGCTTATATAAGCTTACTACATGCCAGATACTTCACAAATATTAACTCATTCTATCCCAGGACGCTGCTGTGAGGTAGGTACTATAGTAGTAGTATTTCCATTATATAGATGAGGGACCTGAGGCATGGGGGGCTAAAGCAACTTACTCAAGTCACATGAATAAGTGTGGAGTCAGAATTGGCATCAAAGGAGCTCAACTCTAGGGACCAGCAATTAGAGTAATGGCTATGCCACTGGACTCCCACACAGTCGACCCCAATTCGAGTCCCGGACACGGCAGCTTAAACTCACACCGGGCGCATGTGTGTGCATGCCCAAGATCCCAAGAGGAGAATGGAGGAAAAGGGATTGTGATGTGGCCATCCCCCCGGGGGATGATTTCTCGCTTTCTGTCTCTCTGTCTCTCTCTTTCTGGCGAGCACATGCACCCTGTAGCAAAAAACCTCTCCAAAAATTAAAAAAAAAAAAAAAAAAAAAGGAGTTTGACTCTAAAGTCTAAGCCTAGAGACACCCAGCTATGTCATGTTTAACTGTGGCTTCACGGGTGCAGATGATGTCTACGTACGCTGGAAGATGCTGCTCACCTGCTCACCAGCGGTTCGTGGAATGAGCCTCCACTCCTTCTCTCTGTATCAGGCTCCCTGTCTTGGATGTGGCTGGTACCTGCTCTTCTTTCCTCCACAACTTTCTCATTTGAAAGGAGAAGGCCAGATCTCTTGGTGAGAGCAGAGATGAGAAACTGGGGTGACCCTGATGCTTGCACAGCAGAGCCTCCGTTGCTGAAGCAAGGGCTGCTGTAGTTGCTGCTGACAGCTGGTGGTAACAAAGATCTGCGGGGCCAAGACCTACTAATGCATTTTGTCACTTTGAAGAGTGCCTCCAATTACATGTGCTGGTCAAAGGCCATGGTTTAAAACGTGTAGTAGTGCACATG